GCACGCGCTCTCTCAGGAGACATTTGCGAGCTCCTTGTCCGATTCTGAACATGTATAGTGGGGCGTCTTTTTTCATTACAACGGTGTTATCTCTCACTCTCGTTCGTTCTCTCTTTCTTTCTCTTTCTTGATCTTTCTTTTGCTTTTTTACCTTTCTCTCCTTTCTCTCTCCTTCTCACATACTTTATACTTCTGCTCAATAAATTAAGAATATTGATGATAAAATACTACAAGCAAAGTAGTTACATTCAACATCAGTTCATTTTGCATATTAAACTATTAAATTTATATTTTTAATCAGCGAATTCTCTATTTAATGTTAGGCAGCACTTGCAATGGATCAGGGTGATGTTGGAGCCGACTGTATGAGAGAGCCTTAATGTGCTTGGTTGACATGATCTCACGAGTACCGACGTAGTCGCGAGAAAACATTCCAAGTGATAGTCAATCGTCTGGTTGCCTATGAATCCACAAGGGCCGTGACGAGAGTTCGAACCTACGTCCGAGAGGATCCCAGACGCTGCCTTAATCGACTGAGCTACGACATGGTAAAAGAACAGCAACCGAGAAATCATCCATCATAGTCAATCTTCTGGTTGCCTTTGAAGTTAGGAAAGGTTAGAAACCTTGCTAACATTTGTATAACAGCAAAGCCGCCGATGTCTCCTCGGTATAGAAGGCTGTGTTGAACTGCCAGCAAGAGTGACGTGTCATATTAGAGAGTGGTGCACACTGAAGATGTAAATAAACATGTTGTGCATGTACCATTTGCCAACCACTGCTGTCGAGCAAGTATGATAAAGGTGTTGACCAAACCACACAGTAGAAAGTGAAGGGACGACGACGTTTCGGTCCAACCTGGACCATTCTCAAGTCGATTGTGAATATTTCAGTCACGTTATTGTGACTCCTCGTCTGCACATGATAAAGGTCTTAGTGCTGCTAGTATATCTGTATTGTATTTGTGATACAGTTTTTCCACGATATGTGATGCATTATGAAGAGACATATCACCATGTTCACCAAGAAGTAGACTATGGAAAAGGGTGTGAGAATCCCATATAAGACGATAATAAAGGGTTCAGAATTGCATGTAAACAGAGTTCAGAATTACACGGCTCCAGCTTTTTCAAACTCTCGAACAAATAAGCAGAAGTTGACGATATGGAATTAGTGAAAAAGTGTTTTCTAATGTCATATGTGATAGGGATGCAATTTGTCTGGTTATGGTTATGTTGTGGCTGAGGGTGTGGAGGCTGGTGTTGATGTTGTTCAGGGCCTTGTTGAGGTTGGTGATAAACATAATATAAAAAAAAGCAGTGCTATCTATTGAACATAATAACAACACACAAACGCTATGCTAAATATGTTATGATTTCCACTTCAATGTTTCCGGTTGCATTAATAAGTTAAATTTTTATGAATTTAATTTTTTTTTTAATTTTGATTTAACTATTTTCTGTGACATTGTGTTGCAATTGAGCTGTGTTGTTTACCACACCGTTCATTTCGTAAGAATAAGTATAGACACCACACTTGTGACAGGTAAAAACATTTTTTTTTTAAGAAACAGCGCCATCTGTTGTACGTAAGAGCCCTACACACTATAATAAATATGTTACAATTCCATTTCAATCTTTCTGATTGCAATAACAAATTAAATTTTCATAAATTTTGATTTATTTTCATTTTGATTTAATTATTTTGTGTGATATTGCTTTGGAATTTAGCTGTGTTGTTTATCATATTGTTTATTTCGTGAGTATATGTATAGATGCCACACCTGTGACAGGTAAAAACATTCATTTTTGAAAAACAGCGCCATCTGTTGCACTTAAGAGCAACTCACGCTATACTAAATATGTTACGATTCCATTTCATTGTTTCCAATTTCATTAATAAATTGAATTTTCATAGATTTCAAATTATTTTATTTTTGATATATTTATTTTGTGTGACATTGCATTGGAATTTAGCTTTGTTGTTTACCATACCTTGCATTTTGTGAGAATAGTTTATTTTTTTATTTTTTCATTTCGTTTTTTAATTATTTTTTCTTATATTTCAGTGATAGGAACTGAAATAGGATAGGATCATTTGATGTTTCCAATTTTCTAATGGGAACATCAGCTCATTTGGGAATTCATCGGACGAGGAAGTGGGGAATGGTGGAGAGGATGAGGGGACAGGAGTGGGGGATGGTACTGAGGACTGTTGGAAATTTCCAACAGTTATTCTCATCCCTAATACAACAGGATGTATTTCCTGTATTAGGCTTCATACACATCTAATATTCATTTACTAATCATTAATACAACAGGATGTATTTCCTGTATTAAGCGTAATAATTAACTAACACTACTACTATGTAGTTTAGTATTGTAGAATTTACTGTATTAGGTTGTGGAACATCATGTAATTTCTCCTAGAATTGTGTAGTGTTGCGTCAGCCACGCACGGGGGATAAAATTTCCACATACCTGTAGATCTAACACCAATGTAACCATTTACTTTCCTTTATTAGGAATAATAATTTAGTAATAGGTTTACTTTTAGTATACAATAGTTTACTGGAATTTCTTTACCCAGCTTAATCGCTGTTCCAGTAAATCATATCATAATCTAACATCATTTCCACCACCAAGCAAGTATTGTTTTATTTGTGCAGTCTACATTAACTGACGTGCACTGTGAGAATTAAATCACCACCATAAAGTATTTATCTAAACCATCAAGAGTGTTCATAAACGCCCCCTTCCCTATTTAGCTTTAATAAATAAATATAATTTATGCTCGAATCCTCACGGTGAGCTATTGCGCATGCGCGACTTTGGGGAAGGAGGAGAGAGGACTCTCGCCATATTCGATCAACAAGCGTGGAGGTGTTCCGTAAGCGGTCCAACAAATCTTCTCATCCAGACGGCATCCGAACATCCTTAGATGCCAGATTGAGGACGCAGCTTACCAGAATCACGGACACCAGTTCGGCAGGCATTTTTACCTTTTGTTCTATTTATAGAGCTCTTAAATATGATTCATATAGGTGCCATGTCGTCACGCTGCGGGCGTAAAAAAAATTCCATGTAAGTGCAGCTCTTTCCCCTCCAAATATTTAGATATTGCCTTATATGTGTGCGAATACTAGTTTGGGGTGGAAATTACGGAATTATCAATATTGAAGCATGGTGTAACACGTTTGAGGAAACGTGTGACCGCCATACCCTCAAGTGCTCCAAATATCACTATCTCAAACTGTTTCCAGACTGGCGTACAGTGGACTGCATCTACGTCCCTCTGTCACAGCTGAGATTAATCAGTTTTTCATTGTAGATAGTACTTTATTACTCAGTCCATATATACATCTGATACTGCCTTTTATGCATATTAATCTTTACATTGCAGTAGTATTTCTTGCATTATATAGTTTACTCATTATCTGTGTGTGTGCATATTATACTTATTATTATTATTGCATAATATATGTTACACATAGATTAATCTTATAGAATACCCACCCCCCCCAAAATGTGTCATGGTAGGCTGACTCTAGAATTATCTATTTTACAGTCATTGCTTAATAGAATTTATTCATATAATCATATAAATCATAGATCTCATAAGCCACTGATTTTCTCATTTCATTACTCATTCTGGTCCTTCGAGCTATCTTAGAATTAATCATTATTTTGCATTCTTCGAATTATACATTTTAATAGTATTATACTGGAGCCAGATTCCCCACATATTTTATGGTCCTTCGAACCTAGATAGTCTAGAGAGCTAGACTATAACTAAGAACTAGTATAAATTAGAATATATTTTATAAGTTAGGCTATCTAGTATTCATATAGCCAGAAGTTAGGCTATCTACAATTCATTCTTCATTTTTCATCCCTGATATCATTATACTCTTTAATTAGGGCAGCATATCTATCTCATAGGGCAGCATATCTGCCACTCATAGAATTTACGGCAGCATATATCTGCCACATATCTGCCACTCATAGAATTTACGGCAGCATATCTGCCACTCATAGAATCCATGGCAGCATACCTGCCACACATATAGAATTACGGCAGTAAAATATCTGTCATATATATAATCATTTATAGTAGTAGAATAATTGTCATACACATATAATCACTTGTATATACTCTATATAACTCAAAAATTATAAAAAGCCAAAAACATAGCACTATCCTGAATCTGCACATCAGTAATATTATAGCATTTTATGCCAATCCATGTAGATTAGAATTCTTAGACTGGAATTGTACTTTGTAGTGTACAACTCTAGCCTAACTCATTATTACTAGCCAACCTAGATAGGTAGGATTATTAGTAGACTAGCATTGTACAAGGCAGTACAACCTAGTCAACATTTATTATTGTGCAAACCCAAGTCAGGGTAGGACTTATCATTATTTTACACAAATTGTGTTTTTATATCATATTATATATATTTACTGTGTACATTTTGAGTGTTATTGAAGTGTCACTACCCATCCAAAGCTGATTATGAGGAGCTAAGCAGAGGAATTCCTGTAGACACTGAAATACCACTCAAATATTAGCTGTTTACTATTAGGTAGGTAAGCTAACCTCTACGTGAGGTAGGATTCACATAGCCTAACTAAAGATATTAGGCTAATAATAATCATACTGGTTCCACATATGTATGAATCAGTACGCAGTTATTTTCATTACTAAACCATGGCCCCAACTAAGCCAAAATCCACAGACTGTGCACCAGAAGAAATATCCAGCAACTGCTTACTGTATTTTAGATCATACACGAGTCACAAAGGCCATGTGACTCGACAGTTGAATAAGTGTGATCAGCTGGTACAATCAGGTGCCACAGCCAAAGTATTAGAAAACCTCATAAAGATGGCCAAACATAAGTTGCAAAGAACAAATGAGGCTGCAGATGACTATCTCAAGAGTCCTCGTGCAACATAATGCTGAGCCGGATCAGCTAGATACCTTCCATGCCGAGATGGAGAAGTTTGAGGAGGGTACCCAAGATCATCTAAATAGATTAACACAAGCTCTAGAAAAATTGCAGAGCGACTCAGTTTCTCAAAATACTCTGACCACAAGTGAAACTAATAAACAGGAGACACTCCAGGAAGTTCGTCTTCCTACAATTGATCTCCTTCACTTCCATGGTAGAGATGATCAGAATTTTGAATGCTATTGGAAAACATTCGACTCCTTAGTAAACTCCAAGAAATCTATTAGCAAACCTAATAAATTCCTCTATTTGCAAAGTACCCTAGAGGGTGAAGCAAAAGCAGTTGTCGAACACCTAGTCCCTAGTGATGAGGACTACGATACTGCTATTCAGTTACTAGAAGTTAATTACAGCAATAAAGAAATTGCTATTGCTAATCTTTATTATAAGTTAAGAGCGATACCTACACCAGATACCACCCCTGAAGCTCTACAAGAATTTAGGCTCCAGGTAGAGTCTCTAATTAAAGCTCTAGGTGTCAAAGCAGATGTACCTAAAGCAGAGTGGGTATTGAAATTAGAAATACAGAGTAAGTTTCCTAAGGAGATTCTAGCATCCATCTGTTCCCATTATAGAACAGATATCCTATCCTTAGATGAAATTTTCGAGGGATTAAGGATAACAGTTAATCGACTGAGAGCTCATGAGAAAATAATATCTGACACTGACAAATCAACCACTGATAAAACAGTCAAATCCAAAGGTACCTCCAAACAGCCTAATAAATCTAAAACCGCTACTTCCACTCCAAGATGGAAGAATACTACAGTAGGTACCTACACTATCAGCCCTTCTAAACCTGTAGTCCATAAGTCACCCAAGTTAGTGACTCCTACATCTACTACAGGAAGGAGATGCTGTCTCTTTTGCCAAGAGAGTCATACTATTTATCAGTGTCAAAACTTTCCTGATCGCGTTTCTAGGATAAAGCGCCTCAAGGAATTGCACAAGTGCACCAGGTGCTTGTTGCAACACGATCCTAATACATGCACCACCCCATTACACATATGTAACAGGTGCCACCAGGATCAACATCATTCAGCATTGTGTGGAGTTGATAGGCCTAAATCACCAAAACTCCAGGTGGAACAGGATACTTCCACCATTGTGCAGTGTTGTAAGGTGCGACAGGAGGTTAAGGTGCTTAACACCAAGTCTCGTAATAATGCCGTATTACCTACTGCACAACTACAATTAAATAGTAAGAATTCTAGAATCACTACAAGAGGTCTATTCGACCAGGGATCCCAGAGAACGTTCATCACTCAACAAGCAGCTAACCAGCTGAAACTTAAACCCTTGTGTAAGGTGACATTGAACATATCAGGATTCCTAGCAGATACTGGACCTCAAGAATTTGAAGTAGTACAACCACTAGTACGCCTAGGCGGTTATGTCCGACCTGTTAAGGCCATAGTAGTTAATCACATCCCTCTTGACATGAATGTCAAAGGTCTAAGAGACACAGCCAAATTTTTACAGAAAAATAGAATCAAGTTGGCTGACTCCAAGATAAAGTCTGACCACCTCACCAATGTAGATCTATTAGTAGGGGCAGACCATTATTATCAGTTCATTACTGGAACTACAAGCCAGCATGGAATGAACTTGTTGAATTCAGCAGGAGGCTACTTACTTACAGGTAGAGTCTTGAACCTGAGGAAGCCTATGCCAGCTGACAACCAACATTAATTCCAGATTGAGTCTGGTACAATTAGTACTAGCCGAGTTAGTTTCTATGGATCTCAGTGGATAAATCAGTGGTCAGTAGCCTAAGAATTGGCTGCAGGTCACCGCGACAAATACCATTGACCCCACTGTAGAACCAGAACTATTCTCGACAGTAATAATTGACCACATTCAGTCTTCATAGCATTTCATAACATCTTATCGTATTTATCATACCGCATTTATAGTATCTTAGGTAAGTCTTCCAGAGAAGACTGCATTTATATCAAGTCGTCTGGACTAGGATTTAGTAATCCATTTAATATGATACACCTGCAGGGTTGTATCAGTTTTGTTTGAGCTCCTTCTGCTTTCTTGTCTCTGCCCACAAGCATCTTAGAGACAGTTTGGAGAAGTATCTTAGCACAAGCAAAATTGAACTTTACAACAGCCTGTAAGTGAACATTTACCAGAAGACTATTAGTAGTGAAACATAATAGAATAAACTCATCTTATCTTTTTCCAGATTGAGTCTGGTACAGTTATTACTAGCCGAGTTAGTTTCTATGGATCTCAGTGAATAAATCAGTGACTAGTAGCCTAAACCGGTTCACGTCACAGCGACACATGTCATTGACCCACTGTAGACCCAGAACTATTCTCGACAGTAATAATTGACCACATTCAGTCTTCATATAAGTTATCATGTACTTAATTATAGCTCCAGAGAGTTATAGTACTGTAACTTAATGTATATAAACCGAATAGGTTTATTACTCATTTAGAATCTTTAGGTTGCTATATGTGTTTAGTTATACTTCCAGAGAAGTTATAGCACTGTAGCCTAATGTATATAATTCGCATTTACCCTCTACTTAGGTAGATTAGGGACATTAGTTAGGGTCAGCTGAGTGCAAGTTAAATCTGTACTCACTAAAGCATACCACTGACTGCATTTATAGAGACTGATGCTCAGATACTCAGTTCTCTATTTTATCTAGAATTTAGCTAGGTTAGGAATTTAGTTATTATCATTGCATAGCCTAAAATACTTGTGCAGCAAGAACTACACATTAGGCTAAATTTAATCTTGTATAAACACTTAGAATTTCTCATTTGATGTTGAGGTGATTTGTGAGTCTGCAGTGATCAGTTAGTGTCTAGTAACTCATCTAGTTACATGTCACTGCGACCCTAGACACTGATCTCACTGTAGATTCAGTATCTCCTTGATCTCAAAGAGACATAGAATAATTAATCATTACATAGATGTACCCGTGATAACAGATCATACCTGTCACACAGATCCGGGACATTCGTTATGTACATACTAACCTACTAACATATAAGAATGTAATTTCAGGGAAAGGGAATAGGTACGTTAGTACATAACATTGAACTACGACCCGTAATTTCCCGCCCCGGATTTATGTTGGAAATTTCCAACAGTTATTCTCATCCCTAATACAACAGGATGTATTTCCTGTATTAGGCTTCATACACATCTAATGTTCATTTACTAATCCTTAGTACAATGGGATGTACTTCCTGTACTAAGTGTAATAATTAACTAACACTACTAATATGTAGTTTAGTATTGTAGAATTTACTGTATTAGGTTGTGGAACATCATGTAATTTCTCCTAGAATTGTGCAGTGTTGCGTCAGCCACGCACGGAGGATAAAATTTCCACATACCTGTAGATCTCATACAAATGCAACCATTTACTTTCCTTTATTAGGAATAATAATTTAGTAATAGGTTTACTTTTAGTATACAACAGTTTACTGGAATTTCTTTACCCAGCTTAATCGCTGTTCCAGTAAATCATATCATAATCTAACATCATTTCCACCACCAAGCCCGTATTGTTTTATTTGTGCAGTCTACATTAACTGACGTGCACTGTGAGAATTAAACATCACCACATAAAGTATTTATCTAAATCATCAAGAGTGTTCATAAACGCCCCCTTCCCTATTTAGCTTTAATAAATAAATATAATTTATGCTCGAGCCCTCACGGCGAGCTATTGCGCATGCGCGACTTTCGGGAAGGAGAGGAGAGAGGACTCTCGCCATATTTGCGATCAACAAGTGGTGTTCCGTAAGCGGTCCAACAAATCTTCTCATCCAACCGGCATCCGAACATCTTTAGATGCCAGATTGAGGACGCAGCTTACCAGAATCACGGACACCAGTTCGGCAGGCATTTTTACCTCATTTGTTCTATTTAACGAGCTCTTAAATAAGATCATGTAGGTGCCATGTCGTTACGCTGCGGGCGTAAAAAATAATCCCATGTAAGTGCAGCTCTTTCCCCTCCAAATATTTAGATATTACCTTATATGTGTGAATACTAGTTTGGAGGTGGAAATTACGGAATTATCATTATTGCAGCATGGTGCAACACCCCTGAGGAAGCGTGTGACCGCCATACCCTCACGTGTGCCAAGTAACACTATCTCAAACTGTTTCCAGCCTGGCGTACAGTGGACTGCATCTACGTCCCTCTGTCACAGCTGAGATTTAATCAGTTTTCATTGTAGATAGTAGTTTATTATTCAGAGTCCATATCCATATATATATATATATATCTGATACTGCCAGTTATGCATTATTAATCTTCATATTGCAGTAGTATTTTTTGCATTACATATTTTACTCATTATCTATGTGTGTGCATATTATCATTATTATTATTGCATAATATATGTTACACATAGATTAATCTTATAGAATACCCCCCCCCCAAAATGTGTCATGGGAGGCTGGCTCTAGAATTATATAATTTACAGTCATTGCTTAATTAAGAGAATTTATTCATATAATCATAGATCTATAAGCCACTGATTTTCTCATTTAATTACTCATTCTGGTCCTTCGAGCTATCTTAGAATTAATCATTATTTTGCATTCATATAATTATACATTTTATTAGTAAGTTGTAGACCAAATCACAAATAGTGAGAAAACATGAGGTAGTATCGAAATATTAGTAAATTCGATTAGTTTTACTTAAAATCACACTACATGAAAAACGTGAAAAAACTCACTATATTACAAAATTTAAGGATTTTTAATTCAAATCAAAAGGCGAGGTTTCGTGGTATTTAGATCATTAAAAAGCCATATGAAAATGTTGTTTCCAATACAACATCAATGAAAAAAAAAATCAATGTGTTTTCATTAGAACTATCTAAAATGTTTCTAATTTTCCTCTTATATTACCGAAAGAAGATGTACACGTAAAACCCCTCTAATCTGGCAGAAACGTCGAGATATACAATTAAGCAGAATCTCTCTTCTTATCAATATCTTACTCACTATTTTAACGAGGTACAAATGGTTGATGGAAAATAAAGTATTTAAAGTAAATTTGCAAACAATTTTGTATTTGCATCATATATATCGTAAATTTAATTAAATAATATCAATAAAGTCAAAACTCACAAAAACATTGGAAAACGGCAAAAATGTGCCTAAATCGTTGATATTAGGTTTAAATCACAAAAAGAAAAAAGGGATCAAAAACGTCAAAATATTGCCAAATTCGATGATTTTTAGTACAAAACAAAATGCAACAAAACATGCTTAAAATGCAATATTTTGCGAAATTCTGAATTTGTAGGCCAAATCACATCGTGAGAAAACATGATGTAGTATCGAAATATTAATAAATTCGAATATTTTTACTTATAATCACACTACATGAAAAACTTGAAAAAAGTCACTATATTACCAAATTCGAGGATTTTTACTTCAAATCGTAAAGCGAGGTTTCGTGTTATTTAGATTATTAAAAATCATATGAAAATGTTGGTTCCAATACAAATTATAAAAATCAATGTGTTTTCCTTGAAATTAACTAAAATGTTCCTGTTTCTACATTTATATTACCGAAAGAATATGTACACGTAAAACTGCTCTAATCTGGATGAAACATCCAAATATGCTACAAAAGGAGAATTTTTCTCCTAATCAATATATTATTCACAATTTTAAAGAGGTACAAATTGTTGATTGAAAATAAAGCATTTAACGTGAATTGGCAGTCAATTACGTATTTGCATCATATTTATCGTATATTTAATTAATTAATAACAATAAACTGAAAATTCATAAAACGTTGAAAAACGGGACAAATTGGCCTAAATCGTTGATATATGGTTTAAATCACATAAAGGAAAAATGGATGATATGCGTCAAAAAATTGCAAAATTCGATGATTTTTAGTACAAAACAAAATGCAACAAAATCTGCTTAAAATACAATATTGTGGGAAATTTTTACCCACCATATCTAATAATCATCTAAGAAATGTATAATTTCTATATCATTTCTATATCATATCAAAATCATATCTAAATCGTATCAAAATCATATCTAAATCATATCAAAATCATATTCGAATCATTAAAGATTCATTATATAGCTTGATCCTGGATGACAGTGTCCACATGAACACGTACGCAACTGGGCCCTTTTGATGCCTACATGACTTTGTACATGATCTCTCAAGGATCCAGAAGCTTCTAGAAGGATTTGTTAATTAAAAAGCTATTGGAACATTGATCGCTTCCGGTAGAGATTAAAAATCCAATCTTTAATAAGATTCAGTGGTACTTTCAAATACTACTTATAATCTTTATATCCTATATCTAATTATATTATAATCACATCTTATTTCAATCATAAGTCTAGACTGTAAAAATAATCAATCAATATTCATTGAAAGCTACCTCTCAAGGGAGAGGGGGGAGGATCTCGGGGGCGAGAAGCGCCCACGACGATGCCTCGAGCACTACGCGTTTGTTTACAACTGAGTGAACAAGTGACTGATCCTTAGCGAACATTACCAGCTCAAGGACACCTTATCTAATATATTTTATCGCCAGTGAACACTCTCTAGAACTGGGGGAGTACCTGGACAATATCTACAAGGAAAATCCTAGAACATTTATATAAAATAAGAGTGTTTAGTGGAGATCACAGTGACGCGGTTTCCACCACCTTCATTCCTA